TGTGTGTGTGTGTGTGTGTGTGTGTGTGTGTGTGTGTGTGTGTACTCACCTAGTTGTACTCACCTAGTTGTGTTTGCGGGGGTTGAGCTCTGGCTCTTTGGTCCCGCCTCTCAACCGTCAATCAACAGGTGTACAGATTCCTGAGCCTATTGGGCTCTATCATATCTACACTTGAAACTGTGTATGGAGTCAGCCTCCACCACATCACCCCCTAATGCATTCCATTTGTCAACCACTCTGACACTAAAAAAGTTCTTTCTAATATCTCTTTGGCTCATTTGGGCACTCAGTTTCCACCTGTGTCCCCTTGTGCGTGTTCCCTTGTGTTAAATAGACTGTCTTTATCTACCCTATCAATTCCCTTCAGAATCTTGAATGTGGTGATCATGTCCCCCCTAACTCTTCTGTCTTCCAGCGAAGTGAGGTTTAATTCCCGTAGTCTCTCCTCGTAGCTCATACCTCTCAGCTCGGGTACTAGTCTGGTGGCAAACCTTTGAACCTTTTCCAGTTTAGTCTTATCCTTGACTAGATATGGACTCCATGCTGGGGCTGCATACTCCAGGATTGGCCTGACATATGTGGTATACAAGGTTCTGAATGATTCTTTACACAAGTTTCTGAATGCCGTTCGTATGTTGGCCAGCCTGGCATATGCCGCTGATGTTATCCGCTTGATATGTGCTGCAGGAGACAGGTCTGGCGTGATATCAACCCCCAAGTCTTTTTCCTTCTCTGAGTCCTGAAGAATTTCCTCTCCCAGATGATACCTTGTATCTGGCCTCCTGCTCCCTACACCTATCTTCATTACATTACATTTGGTTGGGTTAAACTCTAACAACCATTTGTTTGACCATTCCTTCAGCTTGTCTAGGTCTTCTTGAAGCCTCAAACAGTCCTCTTCTGTGTGTGTGTGTGTGTGTGTAGCTCTTAGACCCCGCCTTTCTAACCAATTTATTTTCCTCGATTATATCAACTACATATATTTCTTTCTAACACACACGCCCCCCCCCCCAGGAAGCAGCCCGTAGCAGCTGTCTAACTCCCAGGTACCTATTTACTGCTAGGTGAACAAAGGCATCGAGGTGAAAGAAACTCTGCCCATATGTCTCCGCCTCCGCCGGGAATCGAACCCGGGCCATTAAGACTACGACACCCAAGCGCTGTCCACTCAGCTGCGAGGCTCCTATGTGAGTGAGAGAGAGAGAGAGAGAGAGAGAGAGAGAGAGAGAGAGAGAGAGAGAGAGAGAGAGAGAGAGAGAGAGAGAGAGAGAGAGAGAGAGAGATAGTCGTGGTTTCATTCTACAAACTTGTTTTGATCTTACTGTGTAACTACTGTACAGGGCTTCACTGGTCTTCCACCCCGTAGTGAACAATCAGTCTCCAAGTGAGGTGGTGTAACATAACAGCAAATAGTTAAGTTGCATTAGAAACCTTCGAAACATTCTTAATAATCCATAATATCTGATAAAATAAGTAAACGAAGAGAAAGAAAATAGGAAACAGAAAGGAGCGGGATAAAATAGAAGAAAGAGAAATGAGAGTTGAAGGAAAAAAATAGAATGGTTATACAAGAGAGAGAAAGGGAGAAAAATGACTGAAGAATTTTATGTAAACATTTAACTGGTCAAGAGGATTGAACTCGAAACAATCATATATACAGAAATAATTTAAATTATATATTATATATATTTATATATATATATATATATATATATATATATATATGTGTGTGTGTATATCACGAAAATAAACACGTGATTAAGAATGTGACAATGTCAGACCACGGAGGAAAAATGAAACAGGAAATTTCCTTAAGTACTTTCGTATATTAAATACATCTTCAGATGGACCTTCTGAAGATGTATTTAATATACGAAAGTACTTAAGGAAATTCCTGTTTCATTTTTCCTCCGTGGTCTGACATTGTCATATATATATATATATATATATATATATATATATATATATATATATATATATATATATATATATATATATATATATATATATATAGTGTCATACCACGGAGGAAGAATTGAAACAGGAATTTCCTTAAGTACTTTCGTATATTAATGCATCTTCAGGAGTGAAGACTCCTTCTTATACATATATATATAATAGACGAAGGCCAAGGACGTTAGATATTATTATCTTACAACCCGTTGAGGAAACAAAGGCTGGACCCACTGCGCACGGCATCTTTACCATTCCGGAGAACGGGAAGGAGAAGAATAATGGCACTCAAGTCTTGACCATTACCCTATCCCAGAAGCCCCAGTTCCTGCACCTTGCCCCTCCTCTCCTCTCCCTTGCCCCTCTCACAAGCCCCGCTATAACCCTTTCCTCAGCCCCATCTCCAGCTTCGTGGACAGCCTTTTCAACACCCCGTTTCATATCTCCATCCACAATTCCTTTCACAGCCCCTTCCTGAACCCTTTCCACAACCTAATTCTACAACCTCTTACAAAACCCCTTCCACAACCTTTTGTACTAACACTTAGGAAACCTAGAACGGTAATTTTCTCATCAGTTCTAAGAGAGATTGACGAATCAACTTTATTTTTCATTATAGGACTTAGTTTGGGCAACCCTCTGATTAATAATTAATCCCCTGATTAGAATACACGATAAAGAGGGAGGTCATTTAGCTTCTATATATAACCTAAACATTGTATAGTCAGTGGGAATAGTTGGTTTTATTTATGTTATTGATCAATATTGAGCGCTAGTCATGTCTCTGAGCTCTCTCTTAGAACTGCTAAGGGATATCTTAAATGGATTCCATCTGGAAAGTTATTTCCTCACTAAGCTTAATGTTATTTAAGTTCTTTGATGCTGGATTTTGATGTTTTCATTCAAAACTATTCATTCGACAGGAGAAAGTCAGAATATAATTATTTAAGTTCAATGTAAATGATTTGGGTTGTGTTGGAATTATATCTATCCAGATGATTGCATGGGGTGACATTGGCTTATATTCTGGATGGCGTGTTAACTCAAATGTGCTGGATGACAAGTGTGCTTGTGTGTGTGTGTGTGTGTGTGTGTGTGTGTGTGTGTGTGTGTGTGTGTGTGTGTGTGTGTGTGTGTGTGTGTGTGTGTGTGTACTCACCTAGTTGTGTTTTCGGGGGTTGAGCTCTGGCTCTTTGGTCCCGCCTCTCAACCGTCAATCAACAGGTGTACAGATTCCTGAGCCTATCGGGCTCTGTCATATCTACATTTGAAACTGTGTATGGAGTCAGCCTCCACCACATCACCCCCTAATGCGTGTGTGTGTGTGTGTGTCCTTATGTCTATTTCTTCTTTTTATATCTTGAATCATCCTCAGTTTCCGTCTACCACTTTTTCTGCGGTTCTGTCAGTTCATGTCTTTTATTTGCTTCTGTTTCAGCTCTGTCTTCTGTCGTTCAATTTCAGCTCATTCTCCATTAATTCCCTTTCCTCTCTGCGTTTATCTTTCTCTGAGTTTCTGTTGCTGCTTATCTCTCTCTCTCGCTCTCTCTCTCTCTCTCTCTCTCTCTCTCTCTCTCTCTCGCTCTCTCTCTCTCTCTCTCTCTCTCTCTCTCTCTCTCTCTCTCTCTCTCTCTCTCTCTCTCTCTCTCTCTCTCTCTCTCTCTCTCTGCCATTCTGTCTCTTGGTGTTTACCGTGTGTTGATCGTCGTAGGAATATCTGATCGTGGAGCTAGACAGCCACCCTCGACCCTTGCTGCATCAGGTCATATGTACAGCCTCTCATCTGTTCCCTGGAGCCGAGTCTGGCCACATTAGACCTCACCTTTAACGCTCTTGTACCTATCAAGTCAAGCACCAAAGGCATATTTCTCTTCGTTAAAAAAACAAAGACTAACAATTCAAAATATAAATAATAGTAATATTTCATAGGATCGAATTCTCATCACGACCTCGAAGGATTTTTCAATAATAATAATAATAATATACAAATTTTGTAGGTAAGGGCAAATACAGAGCATGTACCCTGTCATATATCTTACTGGAGAGAAGGGCTTCAAGAAGATAACTCAGGTCCTTGTCGTAACATTAAAGAAAGACCTGGCAACATTTGCCAAATAAAGAGGTTCATTCATGCTGCTAAAAGCGTAAACACATTAATGTGTTCCAATGTTGTTAGAATTAAGTGGCCAGTGTCTCATCTGAATACAAATCTGTTTTATGTGTGAAGGCAATCTCAGTGCGAATTCGATCCAGTGACAAATCTGATTGATACATGGGTAAATATATTACAAGCTGTAAATACTGTCTCTGTATGTATGTATGTATCTGACGTAAGTGGGTGGGAATGTGACCCCCCTCGAGTGCGAATCTGATTTGAGTGCAAATATGATTTACGCATGAATTTGCACTGAGTTCGACTCCAGAATATTGGTCAGAGGACATCCAGGGGGTTACTGCATGACGCTCCTTGAGCTTAAGATGCCTGTTGTTGCTTCTGCTTGTTCCACCTTTTTTGTTGTAGTTCCTTTTCCATGTTAAAAAAAACTGCTTTTGTTTTTAACAGCTTTTTAGTGGTAGATCTACACATTTATTTCTGACATGGAACACGTTTAGCATTGATTTTTACATAAATATTAATCATTCAATTTCGTCATCATAAAAATCCTGAACACTCACTGATATTTTGTAGAACATTTACAACCTTGAAATCGTGTATCGATATTTAAATTTGACAAATATTTTTATTTTACTTGGTTGTATATATCATTTATTGAAGTATTTTCATCAATTTTGCCCCCAAAAAATAATAATTTTCTAAATCTGTATACATTTTTGAAAGGCTGAGGAGCATGATATGAGCTGTTGTGTTCTTAAAAAGAGATTTTGTTGTCAATTTAATCTTTCTGTCCCTCTCAAAGCATTTTCTACAGTAAATTAAATTTAGTTTCACATTGCAATATATTTGTTATTGTTGATGTTGGTGTTGATAATGCTTTATTTCCTATTTTATTCGTGTGGCAATGACCGCATGCGGTGTGTTCCGACAGAGGGCCGCGAGTGCGTCAACTGCGGAGCCACGTCGACGCCGCTGTGGCGACGCGACGGTAACGGTCACTACTTGTGCAACGCCTGCGGTCTCTACTACAAGATGAACGGCCAGAACCGTCCCCTCATCAAGCCCAAACAACGTATGGTACGTATACTGTATGGTAGTGTATAGGTGGCTTATGGTGCTGTATGGTAGTGTATGGGTGGCTTATGGTAGTGTATGGGTAGCTTATGGTACTGTATGGTAGTGTATGGGTGGCTTATGGTACTGTATGGTAGTGTATGGGTAGCTTATGGTAGTGTATGGGTACCTTATGGTGTTGTATGGTAGTGTATGTGTAGCTTATGGTGCTGTATGGTAGTGTATGGGTAGCTTATGGTGTTGTATGGTAGTGTATGGGTAGCTTATGGTGCTGTATGGTAGTGTATGGGTAGCTTATGGTGTTGTATGGTAGTGTAGGGGTAGCTTATGGTGTTGTATGGTAGTGTATGGGTAGCTTATGGTGTTGTATGGTAGTGTATGGGTAGCTTATGGTGCTGTATGGTAGTGTATGGGTAGCTTATGGTGTTGTATGGTAGTGTATGGGTAGCTTATGGTGCTGTATGGTAGTGTAGGGGTAGCTTATGGTGTTGTATGGTAGTGTATGGGTAGCTTATGGTGCTGTATGGTAGTGTATGGGTAGCTTATGGTGTTGTATGGTAGTGTATGGGTAGCTTATGGTGCTGTATGGTAGTGTATGGGTAGCTTATGGTGTTGTATGGTAGTGTATGGGTAGCTTATGGTGCTGTATGGTAGTGTAGGGGTAGCTTATGGTGTTGTATGGTAGTGTATGGGTAGCTTATGGTGTTGTATGGTAGTGTAGGGGTAGTTTTTAGTGCTGTATGGTAGTGTATGGGTAACTTATGGTGCTGTATGGTAGTGTAGGTGTAGCTTATGGTGCTGTATGGTAGTGTATGGTAGTGTATGGGTAGCTTATGGTGTTGTATGGTAGTGTAGGTGTAGCTTATGGTGCTGTATGGTAGTGTATGGGTAGCATATGGTTGTGTATGGGTACTTTATGATGTTGTACGGTAGTGTAGAGGTAGCATATGGTGTTGTATGGTAGTATATGGTACCTTATTGTGTTGTATGGTAGTGTAGTGGTGGGTTATAGTAGTGTATGGGTAGCTTATGGTGTTGTATGGTAGTGTAGAGGTAGTTTATGGTAGTGTATGGGTACCTTATGGTGCTGTATGGTAGTGTATGGGTAGCTTATGGTGCTGTATGGTAGTGTATAGGTAGCTTATGGTAGTGTATGGGTAGCTTATGGTGTTGTATGGTAGTGTAGGTGTAGCTTATGGTGTTGTATGGTAGTGTATGGGTATGGGTAGTGTATGGGGTATGGGTATGGGTAGTGTATGGGGTATGGGTATGGGTAGTGTATGGGGTATGGGTATGGGTAGTGTATGGGGTATGGGTATGGGTAGTGTATGGGGTATGGGTATGGGTAGTGTATGGGGTATGGGTATGGGTAGTGTATGGGGTATGGGTATGGGTAGTGTATGGGGTATGGGTATGGGTAGTGTATGGGGTATGGGTATGGGTAGTGTATGAATGACAATGGCAGGGTATATTTCTGCGTTTTCAGCCCCGACAGGTAAGAAGAGATCAGCACAATGTCTGTACTCCTTCTCCTCATCCTGCCTCCTTGTTCTCGAATCCCTTCCAAGTGCCATATAATCATACCTGGTTGATACCTGGTTGATGGGGTTCTGGGAGTTCTTCTACTCCCCAAGCCCGGCCCGAGGCCAGGCTCGACTTGTGAGAGTTTGGTCCACCAGGCTGTTGCTTGGAGCGGCCCGCAGGGCCACGTACCCACCACAGCTCGGCTGATCCGGAACTTCTCTTAGAAAACCGTCCAGTTTTCTCTTGAACCATACTGGCATAGTGTTTACCTCTGATAATTACCTTAAATTATCTTTCCCTGCCAGTCAGTTAGGCTCACTGCCTGGCCCTTCTTATGCACCTTCACTAGAAACAATACTTCAGTGTCAAACTATTTACCATACAAATCTTTTGCTTTATAATTCATTGTTTACTTGAAATATAAGCATGAGTCTGAGACGCTTCACCATGAGTGTGAATGAAATATGCAGTGATGGAGAAATTCTGCAAAAAAGGATTAGCACAAGGACAGCAGGGAAGATTTTAATTGGAAACTCAACATTATTATAAGGAATTATTGTATCTGTTGTGTTGGACTGTTATTCGGATAATCTGGATCTTGTCGTAGGCAGCTAATCTGGCCTTTGTGATCGAAATAAGATACAAATACAACTCAGGAACTGGCTTGTATACTGTAATTTTACCTAAGAGTCTGTGGTCTTATTACGGTTCATGTGGTGAGTGAAAGATGACTGTGTTCTAGCCCCAGTAATCCCACCATTACCGATCTGAAAACCACACAACGCTCCACATATGCCACTCTTACGACAACTCACACTTGTACTACATATAGATTCACCTGCTCTTGATTCCACTACCATTATTATCCCTATTACTGCTGCCTCAGCTGTGCGGGTGTGAGCACAGTATTACTGTGTAGCATATATATATATATATATATATATATATATATATATATATATATATATATATATATATATATATATATATATATATATATGCAACAATGATCACAAAAACACTGATCCAAGTATGCAGAATAACCACATATGAAAAATAGAAAATGCTTAACGCGTTTTCGGCTAATTCGCCTTCATCAGAGCAAAGTAGAATGAAGATAAGTTTGCTGATCAGACCTTTATATCCGCCTGGGCAGATCACCTGACCACCAAAAATAAGTGGAGGAAAGGAATTATAAGAAAGAAGGTAACTGCAGAAGGCCTATTGGCCCATACAAGGCAGCTCCTTTTAATATCTCCAAGTGCCATACGTGTTTAAATGATTGCTATATTGTTTTGACGTGCTATATTGAGGCTTAAATAGGGATCCAACTTGTACATACCGGGGCTCACATTAAGGCTGTTGTTACAATGTTTGATCAGAGCAGACTCGATCACGTTTCGTTCAACAAAATCCTTACTTTTAACAATACATTTTGCCCCTGTGAAGTCGATAGAATGATTACATAAACTGGAATGTAAATACAATGCACTGGATTGCTGGGCTGTACGAATAGCATATGAATGCTGTTTTAAACGCGAGGAAAGAGATTTACCAGTCTGGCCGATGTAAACACATGCACACTCATTACAAGGGATGGAATACACACAACCTGCTACAGACGAGGGCGAGTTCTTAATTAACATGGACTTAACTGTATTATCATTTTTGAACACTAGATTAATATTAAGGTTCTTCAGGGCTGGGGCAAGATTTACTAGACCCTCAGAATATGGTAATACCAACGAATTTTTCAGTTCTGGTTTCGACTTAGTAGTCTGTTTGTAGAAAGTCCTTTTTGCTTGACCAAACGCAAGATCCAAGATCGATTTTGGGTATTTTAACTTCTTCCCAATTTCAAATATATTTGCTATTTCTTCATCGAAAAATTCCGGACTACAAACTCTCAGTGCTCTGAGAAACATACCAGAAAAAACTGCCCGCTTGACCTGAACATGATGATTTGAATAGAAATGTACATACGAGCACACATTGGTAGGTTTCCTATACACATTGAATTTGAAACTTCTACCAATTCTATGAATCATGATGTCTAAAAAAGGCAGAACACCATTCACTTCGTTCTCAATTGTGAATTTAATTGACGGAACCAGCGAATTGATTTGATTGAGAAAATCAGTTTCGTCACGATTAACCGGCCACAGGCACAAAATATCGTCAACGTACCTGTACCAAAGCAAATTTGAGGGTAAAATCCTGGGAAGGATATTTATTTCGAAACATTCCATGTACAGATTGCTCAAAACAGGGGAGAGGGGATTACCCATCGCCATGCCAAATGTTTGTTTATAAAATGAATCATTAAAGCTGAAATAATTATCTTTAATGCACAATTTTATAAGTTCAATAATGGTGTTAGTAGGCAAAGTTAAATTATACCTTGGGAGTAGATCCCGTAAGAATGACAACAGATCATCAACAGGAACCCTAGTGAACAGAGCCGTCACATCAAAACTCACAAGTTTAAAATCATAATTTAATTTCAAACTAGACAACTTGTTAACCAAGTCCAAGTTGTTTGTTATGTGTGAGTTGGAAATGGAACCTACTACTGGAGACAAGACTTGGACAAGCCATTTGGAAAGTCTATATGCCACAGATCCAACAGAACTAATAATAGGTCTTGCAGGATTATTCGGTTTGTGTGTTTTAATAAGCCCATATAGATATGGGAGAGAAGGGGAACGACTTAAAAACTTAGGAATCAACTCCTTATCTTTCTTGAGCACGGTTTTAAGAGTTTTGTTGAAATGAGCAATAACTCTTTCAATAGGGTCACTATTAACAGGTAAGTAAGTGTCTCTGTCCTCCAATAACTGGTTCATTTTTTGGACATAGTCTTCTTTGTCCATGATGACAACAGCATTGGATTTATCAGCTTTAGTGATATGTAGAGAGTTATCTTTTTTGAGGGTTTTGAACGCTCGCATAAACCTCTCTGGACAATTAGGCACAGTACCCTTAAGTAAAGAACCGTACACCATTCCCTTGCAAATATTGATGTCGTCAGATGAAATCTCACTAGATTTCTCCAAATTGCAAAAACTTTTGGCAATATTTGCATAATTCACATCTCTATTTGATATGGAGAAACTCAGACCGTAACCAAGAGCAGTCATCGTATCATTATCAAGGGGCAAAATGTATTGTTAAAAGTAAGGATTTTGTTGAACGAAACATGATCGAGTCTGCTCTGATCAAACATTGTAACAACAGCCTTAATGTGAGCCCCGGTATGTACAAGTTGGATCTCTATTTAAGCCTCAATATAGCACGTCAAAACAATATAGCAATCATTTAAACACGTATGGCACTTGGAGATATTAAAAGGAGCTGCCTTGTATGGGCCAATAGGCCTTCTGCAGTTACCTTCTTTCTTATAATTCCTTTCCTCCACTTATTTTTGGTGGTCAGGTGATCTGCCCAGGCGGATATAAAGGTCTGATCAGCAAACTTATCTTCATTCTACTTTGCTCTGATGAAGGCGAATTAGCCGAAAACGCGTTAAGCATTTTCTATTTTTCATATGTGGTTATTCTGCATACACATATATATATATATATATATATATATATATATATATATATATATATATATATATATCAATAAAATCAATTTGTTTATGTATTTTTATTTAATCGAGTGTGGTTTGAACAAACTTTATGCAGAACTAGAAATGAAAGACTGTAAACTCACAATCTCACTATGAACTTGGATATGCTGACTGTAAACCTGGATACTCTGACTGTGAACCTGGATACTCTCGCTGCGAACGTGGATATTATGGCTGTGAACGGAGCATTATGGAGCCTTGTATTTCAAGGCTCCTTTTCGTAATAAACCAAGTGTCATTCTAAGTTACCCTCACATGCAAGTGTGAAAAAAACAGATGTTTTTCAAAATGTTTATGTTCAAATATTTCTAGTAAACTAAGTAGTGTCAGAGAAGAGAGAGAGAGAGAGAGAGAGAGAGAGAGAGAGAGAGAGAGAGAGAGAGAGAGAGAGAGAGAGAGAGAGAGAGAGAGAGAGAGAGAGAGAGAGAGAGAGAGGAAAGCAGCAGCTGGACACTGACTACAGATGTTTCCTCCCACAGTCGGCCCAGCGGAGGGCAGGCACCAGCTGCGCCAACTGTAAGACCACAACCACTACTCTCTGGAGACGGAACCAGAACGGTGAACCCGTCTGCAACGCCTGCGGCCTCTACTACAAACTTCATAACGTGAGTGTTATCTGGTGTGTGTTTGTGTGTGTGTATTGCGTGTTAGATCACCTTTAGTGTCTGTTATCTAGGTATTAATGAATTCATTCCGATTTTTAGTTCGCTCCTGCTGGCGATAACTCCTGTGCTTTTACCATTGGTCCTCTTGATGATGATACAATTAACACTACTAATTTTATTACTGATTACATTACTTTCTATACACACATTACAACTACTAAAATAAGTTATAATGTTACCGCTTCTATTATTTCTACTATTCTACTATTTTTACTATTATTAATAGTCCCACTATTACTACAGCTATTGATATGACTTTTAATATTATTTAAAATCAACCAGTCAAACACTGTATTCAACAATGGTTGTATGTTTGTAATTGGAAATGTTTGAATAACAAGTACAGTACATTAGTACTGTACAGTACAAGTACTTAAGAATCAGAATAACAGCATAGCAAGCAGACCCATAGCCTTGCCGAAAAAAATAAAAAGTATTAATATAAATTCTTGACTTCAATACGGATGATAAAATGACTTTAAATACGTTTCAATTTCTTCTTCTGCCATTGTTATCAATATACACTACATTATACAATGTTACACAGTTATGAAACAGATTAATTACAAAATATGAACTTTAAAAATGTTTAAAAGAAAGTTTCTTTCCTAAAGCCTGTGGGGTTTTTTCGAATTGCTCCTACGCTGGGCAGGATCTCACAGGATAAGCAGCCAGAGATAATAATTATCTCTTAGTGATTTAATATCCTTGGGCGAGTATGACTAAATTTCCTTCATAAGACGCCTCTAACTTTCCTCATGATGACCAGAACCACACACAAGAAGTTGAAGGGAAGACGACGTTTCGACTTGAGAATGGTCCAGGACGGACCGAAACGTCGTCGTCCCTTCACCTTCTAGTGTGTGGTCTGGTCATCATACTCTAGCCACGTTATTGTGACTCATCGCCTGCTTACTTTCCTCATGTTGGCATTAACGTGTGCAACAGCTCCCAACCTTGAGGTTATCTTGAGATGATTTCGGGGCTTTAGTGTCCCCGCGGCCCGGTCCTCGACCAGGCCTCCATCCCCAGGAAGCAGCCCGTGACAGCTGACTAACACCCAGGTACCTAATTTACTGCTAGGTAACAGGGGCATAGGGTGAAAGAAACTTTGCCCATTGTTTCTCGCCGGCGCCTGGGATCGAACCCAGGACCACAGGATCACAAGTCCAGCGTGCTGTCCGCTCGGCCGACCAGCTCCCTCGGCCGTCACAATCCATGCAACGAAGAGTCCTCTGTGTTGCATCATCCCTGACAATCGGTGAAATTCCTCGAGGTTTATAGTTAATCTTGTTCAACTTCCGTCGGACTCAGAACAATAAATATTTTAGCTTGGCAACGAATAACAGGCTCAAATGTTTCTTTCGAATTATGACTCATTCCTTTAAGCATCTTCCTCACTGAGATTTATCTTAGCGAGGAAGCGATCTTCACTAAGTAAGGCTCGCTGAAGATGCGTCCACTTGGGCTGGACAGTAGAGCGACGGTCTCGATTCATGCTGGTCGGCGTTCAATCCCAGACTGTCCAAGTGGTTCTTTTCTTCCCTACCCCTGTCCCATCCTAAATCCTTACCCTGTTTCCTTAATCTTAGACACTCTCTCTCGCTATCTCCCTATGTGATGACAAACAAGCAAATATGATAAACATATAAATATGCGAAGAAGCTTGAATGGTTCACAAGCCAGTATACAACTGAAAACTCCACACCCCAGAAGGATTCGAACCCAGAGAGCCAGGAGTACTATGCACCTTGGCGTACCTCGTACCTTAACCACTAGACCACACGACTGTACAAAAATCTTGGTACAAATCTTGTACAAAAAACTAACTACTATTTTTTTCACACACTCACACACCCACACACACACACACACACACACACAGTGGAAGCAGCCCGTAACAGCTGTCTAACTCCCAGGTACCTATTTACTGCTAGGTAACACGAGCATCAAGGTGAAAAAAACTCTACCAAGTCAGGGAATCGAACCCGGGCCACAGGATAATGAGTCCCGCGCGCTATCCACTCAACTACCAGACCCCTGTGTGAGTGTGGGTGTGTGTGCGTGACCGTCTTAGCCTTAGACTAGAGTAAACACAGCCAGAGTCCCAAGGATACACCCTGTCAACGTTCCGCATCTGGGTGTTTACCGATGAGTATCTCTGATGGTTTTACTGTTATTGTTGCAGATAATCGGGAGTGATCCCCTTTGATTACTCTGGTAGAGTTGGTGCGTGAAGACTCTGGGAGACGAGCCTGCAGGAACACGCTGCCGGGTGTTCTATAGCTTGGTTTGGGCCACAGAGTGAAGGCTAAAAAGTAATCCAAGAGTAATTTCTGGCACTTTTTCCGTAGATTATTCGGTCCCCAAGTCTTTCATACGTTGTTTTGTGTCTCAACCCCCCCCCCCCTCTCTCTCTCTCTTTCTCCCTCCCTCCAACTCTCTCTCTCTCTCTCTCGCTCTCTTTTTTCCTCTCTCTCATATAGTTTAATACTTATTCTTCATTTTTCTTTTCCCTCATCCCTATAGGGTCTTCTTACTCCCTCCCACTCTCCATCATCACCTCCCCTTCTCTTTCCTCCGTCCCCCCTCACCAGGTGTGTAGTGGAGGCATTGGTGGTGGCGGTGGTGGTGGTGGTACTTGGGGCAAGATACTTGGCTGAGATAAGGGATTGATGGCCATCTGCAGATATACCCAGCAAGATGGCCAGATGCTGAGAGTCGCAGAGATCTGAGGAGATGGTGGGAAGGGAAGAGGGAGAGGAAGAGTTTACCATCGACTAATCTCAGATCTGCACCTCATGCTGATGAGTTTAGGATCTCTAAATCTCCTATCTTGGCCTCATAAATTGCGGGTGAGGAATGGTAGTAAACATTAGAATTATAGGAAGCTAAAGCCACACTCGCAAGACCTCGCCCGCCGGTTTCACAAGTGTTTGGGGGAGTCTGACTGCGCCGAGCAGCTTAATTAAGACATGTTCATCAATACAGAAAAAAAGACTGAAGTCAATTTAGTAGCTCTGTTGAATCAACCAAGTATTGATGACCCGTGTTTAGTTTTCATTGTCAAAGTAGCGCGTTAAATTCTTTTGTTGGTCTGTAAATCAAAGATTGAAACTAATGCTATACTAGTCATTTATCTTGTTTTAACAAATATTCTACTTATATATATATATATATATATATATATATATATATATATATATATATATATATATATATATATATATATATATATATATATATATATATATATATATATATATATATACACACACATACATATATAGTGTGAGTGTGGTAGCTCCTTGATGAGAAAGCAAAAATTCCACAAGATAAATGCAATCTGTGCAGATAATCATCCAGCATCTCTGAAGACAAGTCACAGAGTCACCGCCCGCCCCCCACGCCACCACCAGTAAGTGAAAGATGCAATCCCTTATATAACCCCCCCCCCCCCACACCCGCTAGATTACATTGTTTATAAAGATGCGGTACGATACTCGGAGCTTCCTCACGATATTATCTTACGCCCGACAGCAACCTACCTTCCCCTCTTACTTCCTAATCCTCCCCTACCCCTTCTCCTACCCCCTTCCCCTAATACATCCCTACCTACCCCTTCCCCTACCCCTTCCCCTACCCCTCCCCCCTCTCACTCATTCACATACTCCGTCCAACTCTGATCCAAATCTCATGATACAGAGATGGCCTGCCTCCTAAGTGGAAAGAGATGGTAAATGGGTTGATAAAACTGGGGTGAAATACTTCCATTAGATGCCTTGTCGCCCCGAGAGGAGATCAAACGAGGGATATGTCGTTAAAACGTGTGTACGAGATAAGGAGAGAGATGGGCTCAAGTACTTGATACTGCGTTAATTGTTGCGTGGTGATTTGTACCATGTTGGGGGAGGGAGGGAGGGAAGGGGAGAGAGAGAGAGAGAGAGAGAGAGAGAGAGAGAGAGAGAGAGAGAGAGAGAGAGAGAGAGAGAGAGAGAGAGAGAGAGAGAGAGACAGAGAGAGAGACAGAGAGAGAGACAGAGAGAGAGACAGAGAGACAGAGAGAGACACAGAGAGACAGAGAGAGAGAGAGAGACAGAGACAGAGACAGAGACAGAGAGAGAGAGAGAGAGAGAGACAACACCTATTGACGTTCAGGCATACATAATTATATACACAAAACCCCAGGGACATACGTTCTCACTAATTTGACCATCAAGCTGCATTTTTGCGTGCAAGAAGCAGCAAGTGAAAGACTTCCAATTAAGAACCTCCGTGACACAGAGTGCAAATGAATGCCTATGAAAGGTATCGGGACCGTTCTGGTAAACATTAACATTCAGAACAGGACCAACACACCTGATATTCTATCTCTTGTAAACAATGTTGTCTTCCTCCCTGCCTGTCTAGGACGGAAATTGCTACCAGGTAACACCAGCAAACACCTGGTAATCTCAGGAAGTATTAGATAACACCAAGTAACACCATTTGGGAAGCACACGGAACATCTTGGGACAGCAAGCCGTGAGTGTGACAGTAGCATACTGGTTGAACAAACGGTCGACGGTCTCTTGCAAGACTCCTTCATTTCATACTCAACGAATCTTACTCATAACATATATGTCTAACCTACGATTGAAACAATCGAACCAGAATGGTAGGAACTACCGTGGTGAACGTTCCCCTTTCCCCATCCCTTCTCCCTCTCCTCCTCCACCCCATCCATCATTCCGCCCATCCACCACTACCCAGCTTCTATCCTCCATCTCCCTGCCCATTCACCCCATCCTCTCCTTCTTTTATTTATGCCTACCCATTTCCCTTATTCCCTCTCCACCCCATTCCACCTCCTTTGAAGCAGCTGAATTAATCAATAGTGAGGGGGTAGCAAGGCGCTTATTAATGGAAGGGGAAGAAAGGCGCTCATTAATGGAAGGGGT